AGGTTTTGAATAGAAAAGAGCAACCATTATTTTTGAAAATTTGAAGTTATCAAGGTAAGATCTAATGAGCTGGCAATATGAATTAGTACATGAAAGCCACCTCAAATAAAGCATGGAAAAAAATCAGCCCCATCTGGGCAAATCTTTTAGGGCCAAAAAAAATTAGCTTTATTTAGGGGGCATTTATTATTTATTTTGGGAAAAAATTAGCTTTATTCAGGGGGCATTTACAAATCAGAACTAAACATTAGTGACGATTATGAACCAATAGGAAGAATATTTAAGAATCAACCAGTAGAATGGGATGGGGTAGGGGATTTGTTCATGGTTCAGCTTGTTACATATCATGAAACACGCCTTGATTTAGCATCCATTTATACAAGTTTTTTTCGGAGCGTTCTCTATTAAAAAAACTAATGGATTTCCCAGCCATGATTACCAGAGGGCTTAGGTCCTTTAGACGTGGGGATGTTGACAATCAGCTGCTGACTGGAATCATTTCAAGACTCCGATTCTGACATGTTTTCATGTTTTTACGGCCGAATTTTGTAGATTCCCATAGTTGTCATAAATCATCATGTCATATGCTGGATAAGTAATGTTTCTCTCAGATCATCATTGAATCATAGGTTATCCTTACCGTAGGTGAAACAGGTCACTCTTTTGAGAAAGGGATGGGAAACAGCAGGATAAAACTGTATATGTCAAGTGCTAACCGGTAGTAAACATATAGTTTCAACCATAAATGTTCCCTAAATCAATTGAATCCCAATTTGTCCCCATAGTTGCTATAGCACTAGCCATTTTTTCCGTTTTCCCATGACTTTGCCCAGGTTCATCGTGGATAAGACTTACACCTCCTGTGGAACACCAGACTATTTCAGCCCAGAGGCCGGCGAATGGCGAAGCCCCATTTCTGGACATGGTGAAAATGGTGAGATGTGAAGATGACGTGGTATAGTAAGCAAAAATCCAGAAAGGGCTCAATGTATCACTATTAAGATTATTAAGCAGGATGTTATTTGCGGTTTGATATACTTATAGATTATGGGTTAGTGTTTCAATGGTCTCATAGATTTGTTTAGCCATGTTTAATGGGGATCAGTTTATTGCGGTCAATGGCAGATATAAAATCATATAAACTGACATGTTTCCAAGTCGCTATGGGAAAATATCATATCCATGATAAACTATATCATAAGATCAAATATTTCGCAACATATTTCAGTCCAATTTGAATATTTCATATATATATATATATACACATATGGGGTCTCCTAAAATGGGGGTTCCCCAAAACCATCGGTTTCTATTTAAATTGTCTAATTTTGGATGATTTGGGTGTACCCCTTTTTAGGAAACCCTCATATATATTTAATACTGAATATTGATATTAGAATCCAATTACAGGTCATTTGGGACATGTCCCCATAAATATTGATATTCGATTCCAATGGTTAATTGAATATATATATATATATATATATATATATATATACATATTTACATATATGTTAAATATTAATGGTATATTGATATATTGATATAACACACACACATATATATATAAATAATGAATATATATATTTACACATATAATATATATATATATATATATATATTAAATATTAATCTAACCATATCTCACCATATCTCACCATGGTGTAGATTGATATTCGACTCCGCTTGGCGAATTCCATTGCTGGGAACTGCAGATCATCTCCGACACGGGCCACTCCTTCCCCGTTGACTGGCGACCTTGGCGGCGTTTTTACATCGGCGATGTGGCGATGTTCGCGGGTGTAATGGTGGGTAATGGTGGGTAATAATGATTATAATAATGATTAATAAAGGTTGATAGTGGCTAATAATGTTTAATAATCGTTAATAAAGGTTAGTAATGGTTAATAACGGTTAATAATGGCTAATAATTGGAATAGATAAATTATAATGATATGTCGGATACCATCAATATATGATATATACTATACAAATACTCATACTCATATTGATACTCATACTCATACTCATACGCAATACTAATACTAATTCTAATACTAATACGAATACTAATGCTAATACTAGTACTATAGGAAAATGATAGTGGGATGATAAGTGGGATCATAATGCTATTAGGAATAATTAATAATGTAGGTAGAACAATGCCATAAACCCCCCATGACTGGGAGTGGTTTATACCACCTATGAAAATGGTGATGACTGGGGGATGGTTGATGGCATTGTTTTACCCACATTACCCAAGAACGCTGAGTAAACTCGCATAGCCTATGGAATATGAATGGATCCCCCAGAACTTCTGTCTTTCTGCCCAGAGCTTCGCCTGGAGTTTCCTGGGGTTTTGACCACCGAGATGTCCAAGGTGGTGCGCTGGGGTCATGTTGTTCGAGCTCTTGAGCGGAGACCCTCCCTTTGCCTCTCGGAGCTCGCGGGAACTGGAGAGAATCTCCATCTGAAAATAAGGTCCCTATGGAAAAAACGGAAAATTTTAGGATTCTTCAATTGTATGTAGAACTAATATGGGAACTAATAAGATTTTGAAATTTGGTTTTAGTGAGAACAATGATAGTAACTATATGTAACTATGGATTCCCGAAGTGGTATGACTAGAACTTGACATATCTTGACAATGAAAGCTTCGTATGTTGGTCGAGACTCAATCCTCGATGGATTGTCAGCTATGATTCGATGATTTGAGCAGAGCAGATGATCATAGCTGGCGTACGGTAAATTCCTAGTAGCTTGTGTGACATGTTGGACAGCTTGCGGACGTCCAAAATTTCAAATGGTGTTTGAGTTTCCATTCCCCATAGATGATTTACTAATGTCCCTTGCAGACTTGCAGGTGAAGTAACTTCCATCGATATGTTTGTCAACATTTCCAACACACCAAATGGTTTTAGTAGATGGTTCGTGTGAAATCTCAGCCAACATATCCCAAGCCATTTTGGAGGTTCTTCCGAAATTCAGGGAGCTAAGTCTATGGAGGAACCGGTGTGAAAACATCAGATGACCGATTGAAAGTCTAACGCTGCGATTTCTCCAATTGTACAAGATTTGTGAATCACCAATGAATACAAATTATATACATCATATACATTCCTGGTTTGTGGTGTTCAATATTGTTTGCAAATGCCGTGAGAATTTTATAGCTCACATGTTGGGCTTGACATCCACATCATCCACAAACCAGCCAGAAGGGCTGTCCCAACGTTCCACTTAGCTTGGGACAGGGCCATTTTTGTTTACAAACTGGCTGTAACTGGCTGAGAAGTTCATAGTCTCGCTCTTGTTTTTTGTGATTTCCATCCCCAAAACTAAGATTATGATCCCCAACGACTCTGGACAACTGAGGTAATCAGCTTGTAGCCCCCCATCACTGGATTGTTTTTGTTGGGAACTTCTTAACCGTTAAACCCATCTTAACCATCGATTTTCCCATGAAATATGGGGTTTTCCATTGACCGCCAAGGCGTCGGACTATCCCATGTTGACTTACCAAAAGGTGCGGCGACACCCCTGATGAGGGCGACTAATGTGCGAAACGCCAATGCCATACACATCCATAAGCCACTTGGGGAATGTTGGGGATGGTTTATACTACCCGGGTCTACATTACCCATCATTACCCAACATATTAAAATACCTAGGCCTGCCGCACACCATCGGCCGTGTGGACGCGTTTGTTCAGTCTGGCACTTTTCTGGTGGATGTAGAGGGGCGACCCTGCTGGACACATTTTCACTGTGCGTTCTGAAAAATGTGGTGAAACTCTCCGCCAAAACATCACAATTTGCTGGAACCATCCAAAATCCAACACCTTCCGTCTCCTCAAAAAGTTCCGTTTGATGGTTGGCCCCTCCAGAAGTTTTTTTGTTAACCAAACATGAATATCTAATTCTTCCTGCCTCGGTTGTTCTAGGTATATTGATGATTACCATAATCCATACTGGGAAATCTGTTCTTAACAATTCAATCTCACCTCATCACGTGGCACAAGCATGGTGATTAGTCGACGAACACATGCCTTACATTGCCTTCCGTTCTCTTGTTCACCGGTGGATGGTGCAGTTCTCCACCGTTGAAAGTTGAAAAACAACCCATCCTGGTGATGACCCATCCAAGTCAATGAGAAGAACACATGACGTATGGGTATTTTATGGTGAAAGCAGTTTACAGATTGATGAGAGTCCCAAGAAAAGTCACAGCTGAATCTATTTTCTTCGGCATTTCTTGATATTTATGGGCCATTTTAGCGTTTCACCGAGGTATCCCCAAATGGTATCCCTACCTGGTATGGTGCCATCGGGTCACACCGTTACCTCCGTTTTTCGCGGAGGTGATGAAAGGAATCAAGAAGATCAGCTTTCCAGCAGCTGATCTGGACGTGGCGGCGAATTTAATTGGGAGGCCTTGCTTGAAGGCCAAATAAAAGGTCCAATGTGGTCCTTTTTTATGTACTGGTAGAATTTATGATCATTCATTGTTCTCGTTATGTGTTATTATGTGTTATCAAAATGATATATACATACATACATGGTGATGATGATGATGATGCTGATGATGATGATGATATATATATATATATATCATATATACACATATGATTATATATATATATTATGACTGTTTTAATTTAATTATGTTGATTTATGTTGTTATCCCCCTGCATATCGGGGATGATCCCCACATCTTCGCGTTTATTATTATTATTATTATTTATTATTTTGAGGCTCAATCACCCAGGTGAACGTAAAGAGGATCGGAAAGGGAACTTGGACTGGTACCCTATTTTGACGGGAATTTTTTCCCCTCCCCGGTTTTTTTTTCCCGGCTAAGTTCTCACAGACTGGTGTGCCAGGGAAGCAAGGCAGCAAGCAAGCAAGCAAGCAAGCAAGCCACCCAGCCAGCAAGCAAGCAAGCAAGGGAGCCAGCGAGCAAAGCAAGCAAGCAAGCAAGCAAGCAAGCAAGCAAGCAAGCAAGCAAGCAAGCACGCACGCAGGCAGGCAGGCAGGCAGGCACGCAGGCACGCAGGCACGCAGGCACGCAGGCACCCACGCACCCACGCACCCACGCACCCATGCACCCACGCAAGCACGCACGCACGCACGCATGCACGCACGCAAGCACGCACGCAAGCACGCAAGCAAGCAAGCAAGCAAGCAAGGAAGCAAGGAAGCAAGGAAGCAAGGAAGCAAGGGGGCCAGCCAGCAAAAAAGCAAGCAAGCAAGCAAGCAAGCCAGCCAGCCAGCCAGCAAGCAAGCAAGCAAGCCAGCAAGCCAGCAAGCCAGCAAGCCAGCAAGCCAGCAAGCCAGCAAGCCAGCAAGCCAGCCAGCCAGCAAGCAAGCAAGGGAGCCAGCGAGCAGCAAGCAAGCAAGCCAGCCAGCAAGCAAGCAAGCAAGCAAGCCAGCCAGGCAGCCAGGCAGCCAGGCAGCCAGCCAGGCAACCAGCAGTTGTACCACTGTACCACTGAAAATATTGCTGCCGTGGCGGGTCGGTGGTGATGGTTGGTGCTAGGATACCCAGAATGGGAAAGTGATATGTCTAGATGGCAGTGATCATAATAACTGTTATACCATGGAAATAGAACCAAAGTGATGTGAAATTCAAAAGTTGCAAAGAAAAACCTGCAACTTTGGCGACCCAGGTATGTATATATACATATGTACAGGTAGTCATTTAGATACATGTTTTGTGGCTATTTATTTGCGCATATCCACCAACAACAACAACAACAACAACCACAACCACAACCATCACAACCATCACAACCATCACAACCATCACAACTACAACAACAACAACAACAACCACCACAACCACAACAACAACCACAACCACAACCACAACCACAACCATCACAACAACAACCATCGCAACAACAAACATCACAACAACACACATCGTAACAACAAACATAACAAAGAAACAACAACAAACATTACAACAACAGACAGCACAACCACAAACATAACAGCAACAAACGTAACAACCACAAATACAACAACATAGAAGGTTCCAGCTCCCAAATTCTACAAATAGCACGCAAAACTGAAAGGTTCCTGCGCGCAAATGCGGCAAATAGCATGATAAATAGAAGGTTCCTGCGCCCAAATGCGGCAAATAGCATGCAAAATAAAAAGTTACAGCGTCAAAATGCTGCAAATAGCATGCAGCATGGAAGGTTCAGCTCCAAAATGCTGCAAATAACACGCAAAATGAAAGGTTCCAGCTCCAAAATGCTGCAAATAGCATGCAGCATGGAAGGGAAGTGGCAGGATTGATGCAGGGGACGGAAAACAGAACAGATCAGGAAGAAAAATCCCCGGGGCAGGGAAAAAAAATTCCCGGCGAGATTCGGCACCACTTGGACTTAGCTGATGTCATGGTGATTTAGTAGGGATTTGAGGAGATTTCCATGGGAATCGATATGGTTTTCTTGGGGGATTTAATGGAACAGTGCTGTTTTTTCCTGGTTTTCTATAGCACTGTTCAATAGTTGCCTAGGGTAAACGTTTACATAGAAAAAACCGTGGGAAAACTCAGGAAAATAGTTGACAGTCTACAAATGGTTGATTTTCCACATCTATGTTAGTTTACCCTAGGGTAAACCTACGATGTGAAATGACATGCCACAACCTATTTGGGGTAGAGAAAGAACATAATGAAGCAGTTGATACTGTTACTACCGCATAAACAGTTGATGTCAGATTAATTGGTAAAGAATGGAATCATCTAAAGATCCACTGTGTTGAATCACAAACTAACATCTCTTCACTTGCCATGACCCACGCAAACTGTCCATGAAGATCCATTGACTTCTCATTCACGTCAATTGTCTAACATCCACAAAATTATCATTCAGATCCACTAGCTACTCATTGGCATTCATTTAGTTGCCAGCAAATTCCCAATTATGTTGATTAGATTCTTATTCTTATTCATTTTCGGTTGGTGAAACTCCTTCATTCGTTGCTGGACAGACCTCACTGTTGTTTGGCATTTTTTTCTCCTGGTTGAATCCGGTTTCTTTGTCTTTTTCATGGTTAGATCTCCATGTTTGTTGGTGCGGTTCTAACATAGTCTAACTCTTGATGATGACATCTCAATTGTTTCATCTTTGTTCATGCTGAAATCCCTTCTCTTTTCGGTGAAAGTTCCACAAACTTGCTGGACAACTGCCGCATTGTTTTCTGGCTGCGGCTGCGGCATTCCCTGAGGGCACAATTCCCAGCGATGCCAAAAACCTTATTTGTGACCAAGCTGAACTGATTGGGTGGGCGACAAATGGTGGAGATACTGTGGATGGTTGCGAAATCCTGCAGCAGTTGAGGCATGTGGTAAACATCCCATTATTTGTAGGGTTGAACAACTGTCCGATAGGTGGTGCATGATTTTGCAAGCATCCACAGTAGGTAAATTACATTAAATTACTGTATTTCGAGTGATCCCCACCAATCTCATTCTATTTATCTGTTTGACATTTTATTTGGCATTCGATCTGAAATATAAATCAGAATGTAATTCTATATGTAGCTCGAATCCTTGGAGGAATCGGAAAATTAATCCAACCTGGTATTATTAATTATATATAATATCCAATGAAACATGTATATCAACTCTAATATATATTTCATCAAATGTATATTAAAGGAGGAGACTTGCAGCTGCTGTGTATATATTTGAAGTCAGAGGTTGGAAGCCGGACAGCCATGCTTAGCTGCTACGGTTCCTAGCAGCAAAAGTTGGAACTTCGAAGGCTACAAAGTCTAGTGTGGGATTTACCCAATAATAATCTGGTTGGTGGTTTGGAACATGACTTTTATGATTTTCCATAAATTGGGAAAGCTATCATCCCAACTGACGAGTCCTCATATTTTTCAGAGGTGTTGGTTGAAACCACCAATTACCACCAACCAGAATAATATACCATCCCCATATGATCCCAAATGCGAGGTTTATGGCGGTTGCCCACAATATATAATTAGTAAAGACTCCAACATGATTATGCTTCATGTATGGTGTATTAGCTACACAACTCGGTCATTTTATATTGGGTGAATGTTGGTAAGTTTTCCATACACAGAGTATATGGGTTTCAAATGGTTCTAAGATGTTGTAATATGGGTCTAATGGGGAGATTATTGCTAAAATGGCTTAGGGCTTGTTAGGCCCTAACATCAAAATCAACATGTTTGTTTCCGAGCATTCCTGCAAAATTAGCAGTCAGGGCCTGTTAGGGTTGACATGTCTTTCGTCTTTCCTCATCAACACTTGCCGCTTGCCGCTTTCTTCCCAGGTTCCTTGTGTGAAAAAGAGCCCAACAAACGTTTACCGGAGGCCAAAGGTTTCGAGGCGCGAGTTGGGTGATGGCTGCTGTAGATAATATGGATTTCTTATCAAATATATCGTTATTCCCCACCTTTCAGGTGAGGGTTGTTAGAGTTTATCAGAGCGCATGCCCGCCTCCTCCTCCGCCTCCTCCTCCGCCTCCTCCTCCTCCTCCTCCTCCTCGACTAGCTGTCCTCCTCGCCCTCCTCCTCGCCTCCGCCTCTTCCACCTCCACTTCCGCCTTGCCAACCTTGCCAACTTCGCCAAGCTCTTCGCCAACTTCCCAGCTCTGTCGCCAAGCTCTGTCGTCAACCTTGCCCAGCTCTCGCTTGCAACTGACCTGCAGCTGCCCAGCTCAGTGTGCACGTCAACCTGCGAGCTGCCCAGCTCAGTGTGCACCGCTGGACCTCAACCTGCGAGCTGCCCAGCTCAGTGTGCACCGCTGGACCTCAACCGGGGACCTGCCCAGCTCAGTGTGCACCGCTGGACCTCAACCGGGGGCCTGCCCAGCTCAGTGTGCACCGCTGGACCTCAACCGGGGACCTGCCCAGCTCAGTGTGCACCGCTGGACCTCAACAGCCAGATAGAATGACAGAAGATATGCCAGATGGAATGTCAGATAGAATGCCAGAAGATATGTCAGATAGAATGCCAGAAGATATGCCAGATAGAATGCCAGAAGATATGTCAGAAAGAATGCCAGAAGATATGCCAGATAGAATGCCAGAAGATTTGCCAGATAGAATGCCAGAAGATATGCCAGAAGATATGCCAGAACATATGCCAGATAGAATGCCAGAAGATTTGCCAGATAACATGCCAGAAGATATGCCACATAGAATGCCAGATAGAATGCCAGAAGATATGCCAGAACATATGCCAGAAGATATGCCAGATAGAATGCCACAAGATTTGCCAGAACATATGCCAGAAGATATGCCAGATAGAATGCCAGATAGAATGCCAGAAGATATGCCAGAACATATGCCAGAGGATATGCCAGATAGAATGCCAGAAGATATGCCAGAAGATTTGCCAGATAGAATGCCAGAAGGTATGTCAGATAGAATGCCAGAAGATTTGCCAGTAAGAAAATGTATAAATGTCATGGTGGGGATCACACGAAGTAAAGTATTTTTTTTGATATGTTTTGGACTGATTGTCTTGTATTTGATTATCATAGGGTTTCTCATTTAGAGGAAGTTTAGTTCGAAGACTTGCCAGTTACGGATTTTTATGTCCTGGGGCAGTCTTATCATGTCATCATCATGTCAACAACATAGCGAGCAGTTGAGCAATTGGAAGCAGTAGAGAAGAGTAACAGCTCGGGAATGCGTGAATTGGTTAATCCCATTAAATCCCATTAAATCCCACGTTTTGTTTTGTTCCGAAGGGATGGACATTCTTGGGACCACGTTGACTGGTTGCTGTATAAACTCAGCTGGTTTTTGAACAGGCAACGACTTGAGCTGCGCAGGGATAGGTTTTTTGCCAGACATTGTCATTGTTCCAGGGATAGATTGTTGTTGTTGTTGATGATGCTGTTAGTTGCCAGTCATATGATAGGGACATGTGATCAACTTCTGATTACCTCATGGGGTCTATATCCGAGCAAAGCCGGGGGTATATACACCAAATGGGAAGTCAACAAAACCCATCCAAAAGCGGCCTGGGATTCATCCAGACCCATTGCTGAATTACTCCATTTTTGTGCAAGATGGGTCTGGGTATATCATACACTTACTCTGCGCATATCAAAGAATATCAAAGACCTTTCAGCATTACTTGGTTTTCCTATGGTTTTCCTATGTTTTGATAAACATCATGCTCTGAGCTCCATGCCAGGGGAGATACGATGTGACAGATCTCTTGAAAATCATCCGCTTTGGCTGCCTCGGTGGCTCCAATACGGTGTGTCGCCGAGGCGTTGCAAAAGCACGCCTTTTTCAAGGATTTCAACTGGGAAGGCATCGCTAGAGAAGCGCGGAATGGGCGAATTGATAAAGCAGCTTTCTACTGGAACCGAACAGCAACGAATCTGGAATTTTAACAACATATAAAAAGGGTCTGCGTATCACAGTGCCAAATTATCTGGGCTTCCGTGTGAACGTTGTTGTTGCGCTTGCGCAGGTCGGTGATTTTATCAAGATGAGTTGACTGAAATCTGTTGATTTTGGTCCGCGAGTCCTTGATTTTGGTTGGATAACCCGGTTTATATACAGGAAAACACATATACATATGATCATATGGTCATCCTGAAGTAGATAGAATAAGTTTTTTTTACAAAAAACCTCAGTAAAATGAGAATGTGTTTGAAAATCACATATTCTATCTACTTCAGGCAGAGTATAAACATACATATATATATATATATATATATATGATCCCCCGCTAATGTACCTTTATAGAATGAGTTTGTGGTCGTTTATGGAATGCAGTTTTGGGTATCATTCTATAAACCCAGATTTGGGGGGAATCGATCGGACCGGCTGGAACAAGCAAGTACATGAACCCTCCCTACTCATTCTATAAAACCAAGGTTTTGCAACCCTTTAACTCATTCCATAAAAGCCAAAGTGCTCCAAAAAATGGATGTTAAATCGAAGTTAACCATCCTGGTAGATGCATTCCATAAATCCCATGGAGTGTCATATTCGATTCGAGTAACAGACTTGTTTCGAAATGTTTGGACCAAACATGCACTTGAAATAGCATTCTATAAACCGACATGTCCTGCTGGCTTTCCTCCTGGTCTTTTTACTTGTAACTAGCCAATTCATTCTATAAAGTTAATTTTTGGGGTTTTTAACAATCGAAATCTCAGATCCTTAAACTTGCCGGACCATTCCATAAATATGCCTCAGATTCATTCTATAAAAAAAGAGCACCCTCAGAATCATTTTATAAACCAACATGTTTATAGAATGCAGTCAGCCACAGTCTAGGGCACATTCACGGAGGATTATATATGTATATATACATGTATTGGTAATAATTTTATATTTGTATTTGTACACAATATTTACACTGCAAATCAATAAGATGTTGGATGGTGAGCCCCCGTGTTTCTTTCTTCTGAAGGAGTGACATATTTTTTGATGTGTTCATGTATGCCTATTTTTGTTGATTAATTAATGCCATAATACGTGTGTAGCTTCATTCTATGCTAAGTATCGCACTATTGCCTCGTTTACTCATGTTTAATACCTGATAACACGATTCAATCTATCTATATTCAACTCTATTTATATTGCGCAGTAGTATTCCCAACTGAGTGGTTTGGCATGAAACAAGTTTGGTTGGTGCTTTCAAGAACAGATCCACCATTCACCTCCATAAACCACATCGGGTTCACCTAGTCACAGTCAAACCAGCTCAGCCATGTGTTTATTGTTTAGGATCTTGGGAAGCCTCATCAATTTCCATATCTGGTTGGTGGTTTGGAACATTTGGATTATTTTTCCATATATTCGGAATGTCATCATCCCAACTGACGAAGTCATATTTTTCAGAGGGGTTGAAACCACCAACCAGATAATTATTAACCATCATTAATCATATAATAACCATCATCATTAACCATTATTATCAGTATATTAACCACATATTAACCATCAAATGGTGGGATACTTATCGCTGATCTTCTTGGGGTTTCCCACGTCTTCCAGCAACCCGAAACCTTCCAAACATGGACCGGGAATCCACCAGGTTTATCATCGATGACACCACCTTTTCTGCCCAGTTCCAACGAAAAGAACTACGACGATACGGAGACTGCACGTGTTACACGTGGTCAACGCCGTAACGGGAATATATGGCGGCAGAATAGGCTTAGGGGATATCAAACAAGGGCAATCTGATGTTAGGTCAATGTTAGGCCCAAATTCCTGCAGAATGTTCAAGCCTTGCCAGGTTTATCCTGATGAACATGTTTGTGTAAGTCCCCAAGAGACCAGAATATTTATTGGTAAAATGCATGTAACTGTCGAACATCTTGATGGCGAACTGCCGGCGAAGTTTGCGGCAAAGTTTCTGAGTGAAGTACGTAGTGTGAGTATGCGGCAAAGTTTGCAGCGAAGAATCCGCAAACTTTTAGATGCTTTGATTTTCCTCTTTAAAAATTACTTCACTTCGAATGATCCCCACCATGACATTTATACATTTTCTTACTGGCAAATCTTCTGGCATTCTATCTGACATATCTTCTGGCATTCTATCTGACATATCTTCTGGCATTCTATCTGGCATTCTATCTGGCAAATCTTCTGGAATTCTATCTGGCATATCTTCTGGCATTCTATCTGACATATCTTCTGGCATATCTTCTGGCATTCTATCTGACATATCTTCTGGCATTCTATCTGACATTCCATCTGGCATATCTTCTAGCATTCTATCTGGCCGTTGAGGTCCGGCAGTGCCCACTGCGATCTGGAAATCGCGGTTGAGGTCCGGCAGTGCCCACTGCAACCTGGAAGTCGCGGTTGAGGTCCGGCAGTGCCCACTGCGATCTGGAGCTCGCGGTGGAGGTCCGGCAGTGCCCACTGGGATCTGGAGCTCTCGGTGGAGGTCCGGCAGTGCCCACTGGGATCTGGAGCTCGCGGTGGAGGTCCGGCTGTGCCCACTGGGATCTGGACTGCGAGGAGGAGGACGAGGAGGAGATGGAGGAGGAGGCGGAGGAGGAGGAGAACAGCTCTGATAAAATCTAACAACCCTCACTTGGCAGGTGGGGAACAACAAAACACAACCAAAATTCCACAACAAACTTCACCATGCACCACAGCCTCAGAACATGGAGATATGTTTCTTGGGATATACCACGAAATTCATGGGGATATACCTGATACTTATTGGATATGAGTGGGATACTGCATACTGTAACAATAAACATCATGAGATGTCACGAGTCATTGCCCATATTGCTCCATTTGTACCTTCAGCTACACTGGGCCACGTTGGTCCCTCCGGTGTCATCAAACATGGCTGGCTGGAAAATCTACAGCTACAAAAACTGGCTGCTATGAGGGTATATCCCATTATATCCCCATTTAATTCCTCTTAGAAATTCCCACTATCCCACTATATGATGGGATAATCACCTATAAAGTCACCACTGTTGTTGGTTAAATCCCATTAAATCACCATTAGATACCATTAATTCATATGAATTCCACCATTAGATCACCACTAAATATGATTAAATCCTGTTAAGTCACCATTAAATCACAATTACATACCATCACTAGCTCATAATAACCCTTGTGGCTGAATGGCTTTGTTTACGGCTGCCCCGTTTGAACCCCGCACTATCTCTTTGGTCAAAGTGACAGCGTCGCGGTCATTGAGTTTGATGATTTACCTTTTAAAACTTGTGATTTACGATAGCTTGGTTGAATTGCCAGTAATTTCGATGAATTTCCTAAATCCATCTAAATCATGAATTGTTGGCTATATCTCCGTTCCATCTCTAGGAAACTCTGTTTTTCTGAAAGACACATCATTTCTAGTCCCCATTTCCCGTGGCAAATCAGTCGATCAAACCAGAAGAGCGGCACACGCTACTGACGGGCTGCCGGTGTGAAGTCCAGTGCCTGTTTTACTAAGAGATAATGATACTGGTAATAACCACAATAAGCAATAATAATCAACAACCATGAATAATAACAAAACCTATATTTGCATAATGACATTGATAATTTGACAATGATAAGAAAAAACACTACTGAATAAGAATAGTATTATTGGCATTGCTTTCTTCATTATCACTAATTCGTGTATTTATCGTTCATAGATTAATTATCAAGTAATATTTCTGTTGGCACATGGGCCCGCAGGAAGAAGATTTGCACCCGTGCTTCAAATCACCTGGAGACCCCAAGGACATCAAAAACGGTGGCCAATCTGCACTGGTGAAGCAGCAGATTTCAGGATTACGCTATGTTTATTTAACAGATAGGTGCATCATCCACAAATGGGTCAACCAGCGGCTATGCTTTAGGGTTTAATCAAAATCTTTGAAGAAACAGCGTCTTTATATTTGACATCCGCTCTAAAATGCTTATAAGGATTTATAAGGAATTTCAGTTCCGAAGAATATAGATAATTTGCCATTGATGTATTTTACATTACATTAGAAGGCAGAGTCCTGTATGTATATCACGTATATATATAATATATATATATATATGTATACATGCGTGTGATGATGTATTCCTATGTGTATATAAGTTTGTTTATGTGTTCGTATATATATATATACACATATGTGCATTCACAATATATATATATATACATTGTATTGTATTATTTTATGTTATACTGGATTATTCTATGTGAAACCATATTTTATCAATTATATAATTGTTGTGCATTACGTAGGTATGATCAAAAATCAGATAGTATGTATAGATATATATATATATATGAATATATATATATGTATATATGAATATATATATATATTTGAATATATATATATATATTCATTTATGTATATATGAAATTATATATACATGTACCGTGCATATATATATATATATATCCACAGCCCGTATGTATGTATATGTTTGTCGCCTTCCAACAAGGTATATATTGTATGTGTGTATATATATATACACACATGATGTGTATGTGTATATACAGCGGGTGCCAGAATTATAGAACGGAGCCAGGAGTACAAAAGTACGGTAAAATACCGTACCTTTGTACTCCTCCGGGTTCCGATTCCGCGCGGAGTCGGGAAATTTAATTATAGAACGGGGATCCGTTCTATAATTAAATTTCCCCGTTCTATAATTAAATTTCCCCGTTCTATAATTTCTGGCACTGACTTGATATTTACTGCATATTTGTACATATGCAATCTATAAAATGAAGATTTAATGAGTAAATTCAGATACGTTTTTTTTTCATACCTTCCGAGGAAAACAGAATTATAGAACAACAGGGTACGGTAAATAACCGTACCTTCGTACTCCTCAACTTCCGTTCTATAATTCTGTTTTCCCCCATTTTTCCCACATTTACCAGGTGATTTTCTTAGATGTCATGGTGATTTTCTGAGATTTCATGGTGATTTTATGGGATTTCATGGTTATTTTATGGGATTTCACGGTGATTTTCTTAGATTTCATGGTGATTTTGTAGGATTTCTGGGACCCCGGAAGAGGTTCTATAATTCTATAATTAATTTTTCCGTTCTATAATTAATTTTTCCGTTCGACGGAAAAATTAATTATAGAACGGGGCCCGGGAAACATTAATTATAGAACGAAAATGGGAAATGTGAGAAAAATGGGGGAAAACAGAATTATAGAACAGCAGCGCTCCGACAAGAATTATAGAACGACGAAAAAAGTTAGGAGTAAATTCAGATACGTTTTTTTTTCACACCTTCCGAGGAAAACAGAATTATAGAACAACAGGGTACGGTAAATAACCGTACCTTCGTACTCCTCAACTTCCGTTCTATAATTCCGGCACCTACAGTATACATTGACGTACCACATATGTAGGTTTTTCTGTGTGTGTACATGGCATATATAAACCATTAATGATCATCCCGGATCCAACTCCCGGATCTTCACCAAAAATATCATGACATGAATCCAACTGAAGGGTTTGGATCTTGTCATTTGTTTGCATTTGTTGTTCTCCCTGATTTTTCGGGCAATATGATCCTTTCTCAGGTATTGAAGTATGAATTGAATGCGTTTTTTTGGAAAATGAACAATATAACATAATGTAACCTTGAAAACCGAACAACTTGAAAGTCCTTTAAACAAAGTAGACAAACACGCTTGAAAAGAAAACACGACAAAAAAATCAGTATAGGCATAGCATGTTCACAAGCAGAACTTGGCTGTCTTCGAAAAAGGACCATCCCTCAGTCCCCACGATACCAGCTGGTTGATTCAGGTGGGGATTACAATCATCCAAGAACTGGGAATCCCGTTACCAACCAGTACTGGTTTGGAACAGGATTTTTTATCCAATATCAATGGCCATTTCAGGAACCGATTCATTGGAGGTACCTACCATATATAAGGCCTATTTTTTAGGCCTATGTAAGGGGATATACCCCCAAAATATTGCCATGATGATCCAATCTGACGAACTCAAATTTTTCAGGGGGGTTGGAACATGTTGAAACCACCAACCAGAGTCTAATGGAATGATAGAGGGATTAATTTCACACTGCTCAGCTGGTTTACTGGCATCATGGAAAAATCCAAGATGGAAGCCCTTGTGAACCACATGAACTTGTCCAAAATGTCAGGTGAATTTTGGTCTGCACACTTTGGACCCGTTGGCGCAGCTCGGTTGGTTTGGGGCAAATTGACTTTTGACAGTCACACTTAAGTGCTGTAAAGTTCAGTAAGCTATTGCAACTTTGATTTAAAACCAGTATCCGTTTGATGCCGCGATTTTGAGTAGTCAAATTCATCGTTTTGTTTTGACATGTTTTGACGGATTTGTGATGTTGTTGGGCCTCCCAAAATTAATATGTACTGTATGAATAAGAGTTGATGATGTGAGAAGGGGGGTTGCCACCTCAAAACTATTTGCAATGTGTGGAATTTTGTAGGGTACAAGCATGTAAAACTGGATTTGTTGCTAGGGCCCCAGTAAGTTCCCCATTTGGATATTTAGCCAATCATCAGGCAGATACTGTAGTAATTAATGACAGCAAATAACATGTGAAATAACCTCTGACATTTTTAAATATCAGTAGATAACATCTTCAATTGAACATATATTGTTTGTCTATATAAATCCGTTTGTTGCCATGTTTGTCACCCATCGTTCATGATACAAGCATCGTGTACCCCAATGAAAATAAGGTATCGCCGCTGATAGCGACCCTGGGCCTTTCATCACCACATTCATACATGCTTGTCTCCAATGTCCCACGTCTTGTATGTTTTCTTTCATATTGGCACACATGCATTTTGTACCATTTTTTGCATAGGGGCATGTGCATCATGTTCAATTTGCAGTGCAATGGCGATCCACGCCTCTCTTTTTTCTGCGGGGTCATGTTTTCGGACACTTATCCTCGATGCTTTGCAGCTCTTTTGGCCAATGCATCTGCCAGATTCATTTTCTGATTCCAGCGAAACTGAAAGGTTCGCACATACTGCTCAAGCCGTGCAGCATCTCTTGTGCCCAATCCTTCATGAGTGCTCAATTCTTTGGGTACATACTTTTTCAGATTCAACTTCAAACCAACGTCAACATGCCCCACCCCACCCAACCCTATGTCCACCGTAGCGTGCACATCCGATGCAACTTCAAACCAACGTCAACATCAAATGTCCCAACGTGCACAATGCAATCAAACCAACGTCAACCCCACCCCACCCAACCCTATGTCCACCGTAGCGTGCACATCCGATGCAACTTCAAACCAACGTCAACATGCCCCACCCCACCCAACCCTATGTCCACCGTAGCGTGCACATCCGATGCAACTTCAAACCAACGTCAACATGCCCCACCCCACCCCAACCTATGTCACCGTAGCGCGCACATCCGATGCAACTTCAAAACCAACGTACATGTCCACCGTAGCGTGCACATCCGATGCAACTTCAAACCAACGTCAACATGCCCCACCCCACCCAACCCTATGTCCACCGTAGCGTGCACATCCGATGCAACTTCAAACCAACGTCAACATGCCCCACCCCACCCAACCCTATGTCCACCGTAGCGTGCACATCCGATGCAACTTCAAACCAACTCAACATGCCCCCACCCCACCCAACCCTATGTCCACCTTAGCGTGCACATCCGATGCAACTTCAAACCAACGTCAACATGCCCCCCCCCCCCCAACCCTATGTCCACCGTAGCGTGCACATCCGATGCAACTTCAAACCAACGTCAACATGCTCCACCCCACCCAACCCTACGTCCACCGTAGCGTGCACATCCGATGCAACTTCAAACCAACGTCAACATGCCCCATCCCACCCAACCCTATGTCCACCGTAGCGTGCACATCCGATGCAACTTCAAACCAACGTCAACATGCCCCACCCCACCCAACCCCTATCAACTGATGTGGGTAGAAGCAAGAACAAAGAAACACTGACGAAGGAAACATGCCACCATGCCCAGCTAAAATGCAACCAACAGTTGTGGAACGAAAGCTTGCCGTCTGAGAGTCTGACTTGGTAGAGCAGCAGATTTTGAAGATATTGCTATGGGGTCGCTAACAGAGGCGCTAGCGAAAATAACCAACACAACTATAAACAAACAATATCTACCCTCTGGTAAACTAACATCAAAGTATACATAAGTATGGAACATCACCATGTTTACCAGGTAAATCAACCATTTCGCCACTTTAACAATAGCTTTTTGTATGTTTACCAGAGGGTATCTATCATTCTTGTCTCGGAATTTTGCCAGGAGCAGGACGACCATCCACTTTCATCCTGGTCCTGATGTCTTTCGCCATGTCGAGCCATGTTGAGCCCCGGACATGAAGCCCAGGATGGTGAGTCGTATCGTGTAACTTAAGTGAAACATCATTTTAAGCATACATTAATATACCCTGTACCTCCATATACATATATATATATATATATGCATAAAGTGTTAAGTTATGATGTTATCGTATGACATCATTATGTATTGCATATGTTACATTATTGTGACTTAAGCTAAGTATTGCATGTATAATATCATATGACATACGTGTCAAACACAACAAACAAATACACATGTTCTCAGATTTTCTTCATTGTGAGGTATATACTTGTGGTTGATGTTACTACCTATGGTTTTCGAAAAATAGTCACGCTTGCGAAGAATTTGGTGATTGTGTTGCGCAAAAAAACTGCAGCACCAAGCAGATTGCAGTGCAATCTCATGGTTCATGTTTCATATACCTTGGCTGCCAGTTGACCCATAAAGATTGCTGATTTATAGAGTATAACCAAGGGATAAAGACCAACTCTTGATCAGTTAATTGAGAAGTCTATGAGAAGTCTGGGTATCTTCTCAGAATTCAATATGGCTATGGACAATCAATGGTCAATAGGCATAAATCATCTCTAAGTGGCCATGTGAATCTATTTTTCTTAGCGATTATTGTAGCTAATTATACGTATACAAATGGGCCATTGTCCATGCATCTAAATGTTCATTCCATGTTCATCCATTTTCAATGTCGGTTAGCTCAGCCACCGACGCACCTTGCGCGGTTTTTGGTTTCCATCGCTGGAAACCGACGCTTTTTGCGCTTCACTTCCGCGCCGAATGGTGCGGAGAGTGGCTCGCCGCGACGTCGGGAAAAAGGCGCCGTTCGTCGGCGTGGCTGACTTGTTTTGGGGGTGCTGGGACGATATGACGTTGTGTTTTTTGGTAAAAGATCAACTGCCGCTGGCTCAATAGCTGAGTGATGTGAAGGGGCACCCTACAGGGGAGAATTGTCATGAAATACCGTCCCTGGTGTGACATTTGTATACGGACTATTAAGATATATTATATAGATCTATTAAGATATGCAATGTCAGAGTCAGTTGGTTGCGTTGAGAGTCAGATTTTGTCCATGGTTTGAAACATGTCATATGGTATCCTCAGCCATTTTTCTGGTGTTTTTATTTTGCAAGACCGTTAGAACCCATTGAATGAACACTGAAGTAATATTGCACCGAATACATATATGTCACAAATATGACATGTTCATGGTCGGAGTCAAACAACATAGAATTAGGACATACTGGTTTCTGATACAGTGTAAACTTTCATGGTGTTATTTTTTCTTATCTTACTTTATGCATGTAATGGTCCTAATGCTGTATTTTCCAATAATTACCTGCATGTTCTTACATACAATATACAATATACATCAAAATGCATCTCGCACATTCCTGCACCTTCCAAATCCTGAAAACAATGGAATGGTATATATAGTATATATATATATACACTTACATAGACTATTATATACTGTAATGCCGAAGTTCCAGGATCTAATATTACAGGGTCTGGTTCTTGATCGTTTCGTCCATGTTTCCCCGCGTCTTCCGACGCCCCTTCGCCGTCTCAATGGCATGGTGGCAGATGTTGGGTATTTCCTTGGCGTCTGGGCGGCCAATTCGCAGAAGTTGAAGCTTTTCAGTGATGTGACGTTGGTATATAAAGCCATGGACTAGTTTGTTATACGCTCCATAAAGCCAACAGTTCGCTGGTGTAAAAACCACCAAGAACTCATTGACCATTTGTATATCCTCCAGTTAGTTGGTGTATACACCATAATAAACCCATTAACCATAGCTATGTCCTCCATAAACCCAAGCGAGAAAAAAAAAAACAAAAAACAAGACACATCTGCGTCAACATCCCACTATGGGGTCTCATCTTGAACCTGGAGTATACAGAGCATAGCGAACAAGATGTGTGTATAGATAGAATGATTAATATATCGAATCTATACACACAGATTTATAATCCATATCTATAAGAGATAGATGAATCCATGATTCATAGCCGTTAATGATACTCTATGATTATATAGAATCTCGAATCTATAGAGATAGATAGATCATATATCATTCCAGGATGAATAAACTCCTAGTTGATTAACTTGAGGGGTACCGTTTACCGTAGAAAAGGCATCATTGACTGATGTCATGGCATCCTTGAGCCATCAAGGCACGATGTCCTGGAACCCCAAAACCATGGGTTTCAATACTAAATTGGTCTGATGACTTGGATTATTCAATGGGAGATCTCCAGGATCCCAAAATGGAGGTACGTTAGTACCATATCAGGCCATATCAGGCCATATCAGGCCATATTTTGTGGGGATATTCCCTCAAAAACAGGCCTTATAAAGGCTTTATACATGGTAGGTACCTACAATTTAGGTTCCTGAAATGGCCATTGAATTATTTTATAGGGTACCCCCATTTTAGGAGACCTGCATATCTACAATCATCCTGAAATTGATAGAGTATGGGATGTCCATTTTCGACCTACTCCAAGATGCCTATTGTAAAGAGAATATCCACAAGGCAGACGCCATAGATGTCATTTTCAGGTGACTTAAACTTCCAGGCTTCCCCTGTTGGGGGGTTCTTAAATCATGGGGTAATATCAACTTCCCTGAACTTCCTGAAAGGAGAGCCTATATTGGGCTGGTTAAACCTTATCCGATGTCGCGGCTCACTGGAATTTTTCAGCTGCACCATCGGACCATGGGAATTGCAACCATACTCATGGCAGTTAAAAAACTAATCATTCTGAATCATTACCCTCTGGTTATTTAACATAGCCATGGTATAGATGGCCCATAGAAATAGATGGTTTACCTATATTAAACATGGTGATTTTCAAGTTCGCTATGTTAAATAACCAGATGGTACGACATGTACCGAACATGGCAATATCAGTACTAATATCTGCATGAACTGCAAATAACAGTTCCATGAATCACAGCATATCAGTTCCAAAATTGCTAGACAGTAAGTAATCTAACATAATCCCACTAAGGTAATTTTTCGCATGGGCGACCTACCGCATTGGCCTTGCGGCAAACTCAGGCGAGCGGCCTCATTGGTCTATGGTTCATTGGAATCGTCCCTGGGACCGGAAAGTGGGCCCACCATGGCCCCTGTTGGCGTTTTTCTGAGGCTTTTTGAACGGTAAAAACCATGGAAACTGGGATGGAAACTGGGGGAAAACCAGTGACTGTATGAATTGGGAAACTGAATTTGTTGGGAACAAAACGAGATGATGTTGTAATTAGATGTTATTGGCTATGAATTTGGCTATAACAATAGAGAAATGTGATTTAGTCATGTTTAATCGACCTTTCTTTTGGAAGTTGTGCATTTTGGCGTGAAACCACGCTGGTCGGTGACGTTTTCCGGAAACATTTTCTGGTTACCTGGTTTCGGGGTAACACTACCAGAATGCTAGCAACAGATAGCAAGAGATATATTTGGGTAATCATGGTTCAGGGGTAACATGGGGTAACTATCCCCAAATGGCCGAACTTTTCCGTGACGTATTCTGCAAAAAAAAACAGATATGAAGATACAGATACCAAATAGCTGTGGCCTTCAAGGGCAAAGGAATTCCCAAAGGACTAAGGCAAGGTACTTTTTGGATAGGTCAGTAATATCACGTTCT